TTTTCTGTTTGTGATAGCTTTCAAATAAATAGTCATCATGGCAATCTGGTGAAAGAATGGTCTTTATTTAGATATATGGCATCTGCAGAAACTTTCAAATAGCTTTTATTGGGAGCAATGCAATTTTTGTTAAGAAAAATGCCTGCCAAGTGCCTGCTATGTGTAAAGCTGACAGGTCCGCAGAGAAAATCTCTTCATCAAGCAGTGTGTAGTCTAAGAAGAGAGATGGTTATAAAGGGTGGAATGGCTCACAGGGTGTCTGGGGCAAGGTTCATAAAGTTAAATCTCATTCTTACATTCACACGTATGGTGATTCAGTTCTTATTGTTTTTTCAGATGGCTTGGTTTGCAAAAATTAGCTAGCTGACCAGTGCCTAAAATGGAAAGAATATGCATAATTTGGAAAGTCAGGAATTGCAGGGTAACAGACTTCCCACATGAGAGCACAGTTACTGGAAACAGTACAGATCTGATGTACATCAAACTCTTCATTTCCTTCCTGAAGAACCCTTTTCACTGCTTGATCAACACGTGGAGGTCTTTGGTCTTAGAGAGAAATACGCTCTCAATTCTATTCAAACCACTTGAGAATTTGGACATGCCCTAAACCAGATACACGAATCATCTATCTGAGGGGCATATGTATAGCAGACCCTGATAGATCAAGTTTTATAAAAGGGGCTGCTGTATACTCATTCACTGTGCTGTCGTGTGTAAAGATGATCATGTGTTCTTGCTGTAATATAGACATCAAGGTGCATGCCAACATGCTTCCAATCAGACATGCTCGTTGTTAGATTCGGAGCTGAGAGAGAGACGCACGAAGCCTTAGGTGTAGCAAAATGCTATTTATTTTGAGCATGTGGGTGTTGATGGGTGGAGATGAAAAACATCCACCCCAAGGGAGGGGAAAGCCTTGGGTTTTATAGAGGGTTTTTCTGGGGGGAGTGAGTAACACCTGCAGAGACAGGAAAGGAGGGTAGCTTCGTCCTTATCAGGGGGGATAGGAGTGCTAGTGTCGCTGCAGCTGTCTGTGGTTGAAGTTAGATTTATAACCTTGGACTATCCAGACTCCTGCGGCTTTTGTTTCACAGTCTTTATGCTATTTTTCGGGTTCCCATTCTAAGTAACGCTAACACTTGTCTCACCATGTTTCACAGTCTATAAAGCTATATTATCAGAGCAACAATTTTCTACAACTTGCCAGATTTCCTCCTGGCACCCCACCATCTAAATTGAGAGCTGCTTGGACAATATTTATTTCTGAATTTAAATTTCTGAATTTAAACATAAATGACATAGCTAATTGGTGGCCATAACCATGTGGAAGCCATTCTGTCCTAGGATCATAGATCCACCCCCAAGGAGTCCTTGTGCCAGTTTTTGGAAAAGCAAATAGCAAATATTTGTGGGGCTTTCAACATTTTTCACTTGTCAAGTATGACCAGTGCAACCAAACTCTACATACACTAGGAGAATCTATTTTCTAATATCACACATCTGGAATACATACTGTGTCTAAACATAGGCTGTTGAGACTAGGACTATCTAACAGTTCTCCTGTCTGAAATTCTTGGTAGTGGTGGAGGGACGGGGTGGGGAGTGTCAGGTTCCCGATCCATGTGTCTACCCTTCGTTGCTTATGTGGATGGTGTGTGTGTTTTGTAATTTTGGACTTTGAGGGGCTTTCTCAGTGGGGACCCGGTCCAAGCTGAGGTTGAGTGTGTGTCCCTCTGGAGCGGTTTTGTGTGTGCTTTGGTTGGGGGCCCCAGGGTGATGGCTGGCCTGAGCCACTTTTTATTTTGACTTCTGATCTGGAGAGCAGACCACACAATAGTGGTTCAATCTGAGCATCAGACCTCCATGAGGTGGACTGTGGTTGTCAATTCTCAGGGAGGCTGATTTTGTCCCCTGGCCCCACTGTTATCCAGGCTGAGGCAGGTAAGTACCTTAGTTGTTTCTACTTTTGAGAAGGAAATTTTTTTTCCTGGTACACTTTTTTATCAAGGGCTGGTCCTTTGAGAGTTCCAGCTTTCAGTGAAGAGTCTCAGTTCCTATCCACCTACTCCCACTTCATGAAGCCCTAGGGCTTCTCTTGAACCGGTACCATGCTACTGGTCACCTCTGCTCCCTCAGGGCAGTGCGGAGGCTTGGTTCTGGCTTTCAGATCCTTCTGTGTGTCTACCCTGAACAATTCCTTGCTTTCTTGAGAACTCAGCTGTGCATTTAGAAGGATACTTGTTATGTTTTACTCAGAATTTCTAAGTTTTTAATAACGAAAGAGTGTTTTGAAGATATTTTGTCTGCCAAGAGAACATCATCACCATCATCTGAGAGAATTTAAATGTCTACTGGTGGGTGGAAGATGCCTGTCCACATTCAAAGAGGAGTGAGGAGAAGGGGACTCTGTCCTTTAGAAACTTATAGAATTTTTTTATGTCTAGCTCACTCAGCTCCGAGAGCTGCTCATTCAGTCATTCGCTCAATTATCCTTCCGTTCATATCTCATTCCGTAAATACTCAGTAAGTTCCTACTGTCAGGCTTTCATTCATTTCTTCAGCAAATATATGTTGTGCACAGTGTCTACTCCATGCCAGATAGGTGATTGTGTTCAGCAAAAAGCACACTAGCTCCTGTCTTCATGGGGGACACAGAAATTGGTCAGATGATCACCTAAATAAGTGTAAAACTGTAAAGGCACAGAGTAAATGTGTATGGTGCTGTGAGATATGTAATGGGAGATTTGTCTAACTGAAGCTGGGAAAGGCTCATTTGGAGAAGTGAAATAAGTAGCAAGAGTGGCTTTCACCGAGTGAAAGGGGAGTGATAATTGTTCCAGATATGGAGCAGTATGTGCAAAGGGCCTGGGGTAAGGATGATGGACTAAAAGAAAGGTGGTAAGGTGGAAGAGGAAATAGAAAAAATATGATTCCAGAAAATGCTGAAAGGAGTTAAGGCCAAACCATGGAAAACCTTGTAATCTGTGTTAAGGAGTTTTGTATTTCTTGTAAGAGCCATCAAAGGGCTTTATTTATTTATTTATTTAGAGACAAGGTCCCACTCTGTCACCCAGGCTAGAGTGCAGTGGTGTGATCATAGCTCACTGCAACTTTTGAACTCCTGGCCTCAAGCGATCCTCCCACCTCTGCCTCCCAAAGTGCTGGGATTACAGGTGTGAGCCACTGCACCTGGCCCATTGAAGGGCTTTAAACACTGGAACGGTACATCCTAATTTTCTTTCTGAGATTGTAAAAGATCTTTCTTACTTCAGTGAGGAAAACAGATTTGATGTGGCAAGAATGAGAATGGAGACCAGTTGGGAGGCTAGACCAGCTGAGAGTTGCTGGTAGCTCAACCCAGTTTTGGCTTTGTAGGTGGGAAGACATGGGCAGATTTGAGATTTATTTAGCAGGTAAAATTATTAGGAAGCAGCAGAGAGATGGCACAGGAGTAATTCCAAAGTTTCAGGCCTACATAACTGGATGGATGGTGGTATTTCTTTGCTAAGATAGGGAACACTAGAATCAGGCGAAGTTTGGTGGAAATGCCATGGGTTTTTCTTTTGGACATATCAAGCTTGAGGTGTGTTTGAAACATGTTGCAGGAAAAGCTGAAGAGGCTATTGGATATATGGGTCTGGTACTCAGAGAAGAGATCTGGGGATATAAACACATGAGTAATTTGCTTATAGGTAATCATTTAATTGGTGGGCCTAGATGAGACTTGCTAGCAAGAGATTATAGATGATCCCTTGGGACATGGAGGTTACCAATGACCTTAATGGGAGCTGTTTCGGTGGTGACACAGGGTGAGAAGCTTGGAGTAGGATGTAGAGAGAGTGGGAGCTGAGGAGATGAAATCAGTGAGTAGAGACAGGTCTTTCAAGGAGTTTGCCAGTGAAGTTATATAAGGCCTTAATAAATTTTTAAAGGAAATATATCACTTAATTATGATTGGAAGGCAGAATCTGTTAAAACAGGGAGGCAGTGGAAAAATATTGAAATGGTTTCTTGGTAATGAAAAAAAAGGTCGCCAAGACAGAGACATAGCCTGGCACAGAGAGGACTGAAAGGCACTGAACCAATATTGAACTATAATCGTAGCTAACGTTTATCGAGCTGCCGGTGCCATTCTAAACGCTTAACATGTAGTAGGAAACTGAATCCCACAGCAACTCTATGAGGTGCGTATACTCATTATCCCATAAGGGACATGAGGAAGCTGGTCACCAGAGAGATAACCTAACTTGCCAGGGTGTGAGAACAGTGATTTGAACCCAGGAAGTCTGGCTGTGGAATCCATGTGTTTTTTTTAAATTCTTTTATTTCACTTTTGATTGACAAGTAATAATTGTATATATTACATGTTTATGGGGTACAATGTGATGCTTTGATATATGTTTACATTGTATTTTGTTTAACAAATCTATCGCCTCACATACTTATTGTTTTTGTGTGGTGAAAATATTTAAAATCTACTCTTGTAGTAGTTTTGAAATACACCATTCTTATCCACTGTGCCATATTGCTTCTCAATATAGGTATGCACGATAAAGTATTTGTATCATCCATGAACCAAGATACGGGCTCATCTATCTGCAAATATTGAAAATGTTATTGGTTACATAATCACTTTGGGGCAAAAGTATAAATTAATGCTGACTCAAATACGTTGTTAAAATTCCTTCTTGGCTTTATATTATAGAACAAGGCAGGCATACGTGGAAGCGTTATTAGAGCAGCTTTAGCTTTAATCTTGTCCTTTAATAAATGTGTGCACATTATTCATTTAGTTGTACCTGTAACTACGTGGTGGCCTTGCTGCTGGGAGTATAATAGGTAAGCGAAATTCACAACAGTCTGAAGCCGCTTGCACCTCTCTGCCAAAACGTGTCATCTGTGAATTGCATCAACCAATATCCCAAAATAAGTGACCTTTTTTTCAGGTCCCTGGGGATTGGCTTTAACTACAACATGTGTGTGTTTCTTTTCCTCCTAAGGGTTTAACAACACCGAGAGAACATGTGACAAAGAGTTTATTATACGGAGAACAGCCACCAATCGAGTACTGAACGTCCTCCGTCACTGGGTCTCAAAGCACGCACAGGTAATTCAGTGGCCTCGTTCGTTACTTTCAAGGATTTTTTTTTTAAAGTCGTTACACATGTAAAATATCTCCTGATTCTTTGGAGTTAAAAGTTTGAAACCTCGAAACTGAAACGTAGGAAGGGAGCAAGTAAGATAGACACGCAGATCAAAGCAGACATTCATGTCTTGCCAGCATCCACTTTTTCAGATCTGCAAATGACATGGCCGGGTCAACCAGGGCTCCTCTCCCCTCTGAGGCAGCAGCACCACCTGTGAGCACTAGAGCCATGGTGGGGCCCCTGTCCTGTGCCGCCTTGGAGCACCTTTCGTAGGGTTTTCTCTGTAAGTGGAGTTGTGCTTGAGAGGTCACCAGCTGCAGTGGTCCCCCTCCCCAACGCCCAGAGGTAAACTTCAAGGTGTCCCCTGGAGGTAAACAGCAGGTACCCCCTGGATGTAAACAACGCTTGGCAGCTAGAGACCCTCTGGTGTCTGGTCAGGGAGTGTTTTCTCATTGAAGAGGTATTTTGCTTCAGGCCCTTTGATGTTTTGGTTCCTAGTACTGTTTTTAAATTGTGTCACACTGCCAGGACACCCACATGTTATCTATTTATGTGTTTTTGCGTGCAAGTTTGTAGAATTTATAGCCCTTTCACAAAATAAAGTCAGGCCCCATTTTGCCTCGCTGGTTCGATGCATGCACAGTGCTTTTCTTTCCCGCTGCCAAGAGACAGGCCGGCCCGCCTGGACCACGGCTGCAAGGAGAGGCTTGGAGAGAGAGAATGGAGCCCTGCATGGCTCAGATCAGAACATGTGAACATATAAAATTGCGGGCTAGCTAATGAGTATCGCACATTATATGAGAAAAAGGGAAGGTGCTCTTGGGTCTTTATTGTATTCTCAGAGGCTGTCACGGGGCTGCTGCACGGTCCTTGGTAATGACCACGTATTCGATAGGGTCACCACAAGGGCCAGGCTCCTGACATCCCAGTGGTAAGAGAATTTACTAATTAGGAAAAGTGGGATTTGGGCCTCACCACCAGTAAGTCCATAAAACTTCTTAAATAAATAAAAATGGGTCTTATGTGACTCAAATGCCAAGACTCATCTTTAGCTCATTAGAAATGTTCAGTCTCTCCTCTCGGTAATCTCAGTGAGCTTCTGGGAAATGCATTTTGCCTCATCACAGATAAAGCACGGTAAAGGGGTTTCTCCCTTGTCTGATTATCCATCCCAGTCCTCTCTGGTATTTTTTTACCCAGCATCTTGACATCTGATTCCTGGGGCCCACAGTGGCTTCTGACATGTGCAGTAGCTTCGCTAGACAAGGCCGAGCAGGTTCTCTTCCCCGGCGTCAGCGTGGCCACAGCCGGTTCCTGCCGAGACGCACCAGTGTGCCAGCGCTGGGTGTGCCTGGCCTCGGCTCCCCTCCTCGCTTCCAGATCTTCTCTCAGGAACCCTCCACTGGCTTTCGTGTCAGACCTACTTACCCTTTCTCAGCCCCTGGTCCCCTCTTTTTCTAATGATCTCAAACAAGAATCCCTCCCAATTCCTGGATAACTCTTACAGTAGCTAGAAAAATACCACAAAGCGAAGGACAATATGCTGGGATTGTTTGATTTTTGCTAAAGAGAACTCACAGATGAAGAGAGATTGGTGCACTGAGCCCCTCACTTACAATGAGGAGTTTTATGTAAGCTTTTGGCATCTGAACTGTTTGACAGCTCAATTGTTCAGGCAGTTCAGACGCGTTAGGACCCAAGTGACTTCACCTGTGTTCACACATGAGCAAGAACTTCTGTCTCCAGTTCTGAGCAGTGAGCTCCTCGGACTCTCCTCTGTATGAGGGGCACATGTGAGTGGTATAAACCGCTCAGGCGTTTGGTCTGTTCTTCTGCCCTGACCACTGAATAAAGTACAGACCCCGGCTGTTTACTTCGCTGATGTGCCCAAGGACATTCTCACCACAAACTCATTTGTCTTCTCTTACTTTCCCCGCATCTGCGAATGGCCTTTGGGGATCTGTGGTTGGTTTCTGTGTCCTGGTGTAACCTCATCATGTGTAAATCCTATCGCCTTCCTCATCCCCGCGAGTTCTCAATCATCCTCTCTGTACAAGTACATGACAATGCACAGGACGTTTCTGTTACGTTTCCACTTATTGGCCATTGCTTCGGGGCATTTTTTTTTTTTTGCTGGCTTGAGTGTACAGGTTTCCTTCCTTCCCTTTACTGATTGGCTTCTGGCCACCTGGTGGTCATTCGGCCTCCACAGTGGACAGTCTAAGTAACCCGGGCAGGCTCTTGGTAACAGGTTGGTAAACAGCTGGAATAGACAGAGCTGGTCTCAGGTTATGGTGCTGGGAACCACATTGTGTGGCCACTGCCTCCTCTCACCGACAGTGGGCATAGCCTGACGTGCCCACTGACTCTGGGCACACCTCGCAGCTCAGGGGAGGTGTGCGTGTGGCCCCTGACTCCAGGGACCTAAGAAAGTAGACCACTCTGCTGCTTAAAGAATAAAAACCCATCTGGGTACCTTCATCCAAGTTTATCTAAAGGTCTTTGCTCTCCTAAGGCAACATCCAGCTATAAGATGGGAGTGCTGGTCTGAAAACCTGCACTATCCTCCGACTCTGCCGACTCACCCTCACCTTTGTCGTCATTGGTTTTCACATCATAAAAGGAACAGCTTGGAGAAGATGATTTTTAATTATCTGATTCACTCTGTTGAGCCCACTTAAGGAAGAATGTAGCATTATTGTGGCAACCTGATTACTTTGAATCAGTAGCTTTTAAAAAATGAGTAGGAAGTTGTACTCATTTCAAAAATACAGCCAAGGCCAGGCGCAGTGGCTCACGCCTGTAATCCTAGCACTCTGGGAGGCCGAGGCAGGTGGATCGCTCAAAGTCAGGAGTTTGAGACCAGCCTGAGCAAGAACGAGACTCTGTCTCTACCAAAAAAATAGAAAGAAATGATCTGGACAACTAA